ATTGCGGCCGATTGTTAACCACGCCCACTTCGAAGCTGTTCAGCTCCCTTTCTAGCGGCTTTCCAAGGTGAGTTTTTTGTTCAGTCACACTTTTTATGTTCTTGACTAGGGCTAGCGCATCGTTCCACACCATTAGTGTCGAAGGTCGAAGGTAAAAACCCTGCTGGGACTGTTGCTTCAAGTTCAACTGGGCATTTTATAGCAGAACGTAACAAATTAAGCACGCTTCTTCAACCAAACGATTGACCTTCTCATCTACTGAGAGTAGTTCCCTATGGGCATGATCTACTTAATGAGCGGGGCTATTAATGTGAGATTTACTTGATTGAGGTAGTGGTCCAGTAAATTGACTAGATATGCTGAAAGTCGCAAAATATAGACCTTGAGCATGCGGCTGTGTGGCGTCTCATTTTTCAATCGCAAATTACTCCTGAATAAACGAGACCAGTCAGAGGCATTCGCTACAGGAAATAATTCAAAACCATCGTGTAAGCGCAAATAAATGAATGAGGTGTAGATCACTCACCGTGACCCATTCGAGCACTGATCATGTTCAAAGCCGGCAATGGTGTTGGCATTTCCGATGCTTCGGTTACTTCACTGTTTTCCTCGACTTCATTGATATCCTCGCTGCACGACATGCCACTTGACTGAAATGCTTTTTTCAATTAAACACTAATTGTATGGCTTTAAACACATGAAGGAACTAACTGAAGCAGCATTGAGCTGTTAGCGTGTGTAAAGGTCACGACGCGACGTCGCGCACAACTAATCGCGCTGCATAGCGGCAACTGGTTTGAGCGTCACCCCTTTTGCACACTTCTGCCATCATCGAAGCGCGTACTAGCTCGTCGTGTCTACGTCTCCATCGGATCCCACACTCAGCCAACGCCTCGAATCTAAACACCGCACACGCGGCACGAGCAGACGGGTGCGACGTCGCGTGGTGACTTCTTGCTACTCACACGGTAGAAACAAACATCAGACACTCACCCACTGTCCGTAATTCATTTGTTGGTATGATGGCAGTGGTGGTTGTTGTTGAACTGCACTGGGAACCTCCACATACTGCTGCTGCGGTTGCGGAGCCGTCGGTACCATCGCAGGCCGTGGTGGTTGCTGGTATATCGGAGACTGCACGTGTACAACTTGTTGTGGCATTTGAGAATGGAACATTGGTGATTGGTACATTTGAGGGTGTGCAGGAGTATGATACATAGGAGTCGGATATTGCTGTGCAGCTTGCATGACTGTCGTTGCCATAGGTGGATAAGCTTGTTGCATTACGTTCGGTTGTAGTTGATGTACCTGTCGCATGACGGGTTCGTATTGCTGAGGATAGACTACTTGCTGTATGTGCCACTACTTGCTGGTATTGTGCCGGATAGACCGTTTGTGGGACAGTTTGGTAGCCTTGTGGTGGGCATCCGACCATTTGTGCGGGGTACTGTTGAGTGGTGTACTGCACACATTCTGGCTGTTGTATGGGCGCCATAAGCGAGGGATCCTGCACACTCTGCGATTCATTGCTCATCGAATCCTGGGCTTGTTGGCAAGCAATCATTGAGGCGGAAGGCTGCAGAGGTGCGTTCGGCTGTACAGGCATCATTACGGTAGGATGCGGCGCGTAAACCTCCATGGAAGATGACGCAAGCAGCGGCGACGGTTGCACGTATATTGGCTGGTGCTGGTATGGCGCGTACCTAAAAGGGTTCAGTTCTCAGTACATCACGTATCAGGCCGATGTCAGACTTTAAGCGATTCGCTAGCGTCCGCGGTCGCGTCGCGGCCAGTGAATCACTCAATTGGCTGGTACCGCAACGCGACCGCGGACGCTAGCGAATCGCGCGATTCGCAAAGTCTGACATCGGCCTTATAAGTTCATGAGGGTGTGGACCTCTACAAGGAAAAGAGACGTGACTAGGACGAGTTCATTGATATCGGAACCAGCGGTTGCGACGTGTTCATTGCACACGAGCGCGCAACTGAAACTGCTCTGCACCACCTGCATTTCCACTGGCGATGAACTCGTCCGAATCACGCCAAAAAAACCTCCATGCTCGAACAGCAAAAAGTGTTATATACATGGGAATCAACTCACCCCATGTCATCACCCATTTGGTAGTGGTAGACGGCAGGATAGCCAACAGGTACTCCTGGCGGTGCTGCTTGAGTCGAACTTATTGAACGGAAACTCATTTGACTGGCTCGATCCGAAAAGCTCAAGTTGTTCATGCGTTCCGCTGTCTCATCGATTGGTTCTCGTGGAGATAGATAGGTTGCTGAAAGGATCACAGTGACTATTTAGCCGTATAGACGAAGGGAAGTAACATTCTAATATCTCTGATTGAATTTGTGTTTTTTTATTTTGCAAGAAATCGCCACGCCACACTATTTTAGCTGATCATTGCAACAAAGGTAGTCATTCCACAATTGTGTGCACGGTTACCCTAGCCAAAGCATGTCAGACTTTGAAAATCAGACGATTCGCTTGCGGTTGCGGTACCAGCCAATCG